TGCAAAGGCCACTGGAGGTACTATCAAGGGAGAGGGAAAAGAATAGGAAAATTAGCGAACAGACATTTGCTTCTCCTTAGGGCCCTGTCTGTGTCTCCTCAGTAGTTTCTAAAATTATAGAGATAAACATCCCAAACCTTACCAGTAATTATAAGGAATGCATGATTTTATAGTTCTAATTTCAGAATAAATATTACTCCCACTTGTTTTTATTCCTGCATCATTTCTATGCAAATTTTATGATGCTGTTTATTGGATCACACATACTTCCAGCTCAGATATTAAATAGGAGCTTCACACTTATAGTTTTCTTAAATTAGCAACTTTGTTTGAAAACAGAAAGAGATAAGGTGTAAATCTTAATGCAAAACATACCTTTGATGGAAACTGAAACTAAGAAACAGTAAGACACTCAATGTTATTTTCTCTCGTGGGATGTTCATGCAAAGGAGGAGTGTATCTCTTAAGATAGGAAAATATGATCCATTAGAACTGGCAAAGATCCTGAACACCCAGACAGTAGTTTGCAGTTTTGGTCATTTATGCATTCATCAGGTTTATATTGATTATCTAACAGGAGCTAAACATGATGTAGCGAGAATGAAGTGACTGAGACCCAGGGAGGTTTAGTGGTTTGTTCAACCACAGCTAGCTACTAAGAGGAAAGCCAAGCCTCCTCCATACCCAACATCCACAATCACTTTGCCTCCCCAGGTGTCAGCCTGGTCCTCTCTTAGGAACTGCAATGAGGACAACAATGCACAGTGACAACAGTGACTGCAGAGCACTTGTCATGCCTTGGGTGCTTTGCTAGACTTCCTGTGTACCTGACTCTTAGGACATTTAGGTTTGTATTGCCCCTCCCCTCTGTAGGGAATACGGTTTTTCCTCCCGCTGCCTAGTCTTGTTCCACCTCTGCGCCAGCGTCAAATAATACACAGAGATTCTGTATTTGATATAATTCTGTTGGCCTGTTATTAGTTTCTTATTGGCTAGCTCTGTCTTAATTATTAACCCATTTCTATGTATTTCCACGTGGTCTTACCGAGAGCAGAGGAATGGCAGTTCTGTTCTCTCCAGGCCCTCCATCTTGACTCCTCCTTCCTACTTCCTCTCCTAGTCCCTCCTATCTTCCTTTCCTATTGGCCAACAGTGCTTTATTATTAACCAGTATGAGAAACATATATACATAATGACATCTCCCATCACCCTTCCACTTCACAAATGAAGAAAACAAAACTTAAAGAGATTAAATAATTTTTGTAAGTGAAAATCATTGCTCACTCAGGAGCAGAGACTTCAAAACCCCCCATTATCTTAACCCAGCGGCCATACTTTGAGTCTTACTAAAGTTGTTATAGAAAACTCCTTAAAGTGTGTATACTTCAAGGGACATTAAGATAGCTCAGCAGGTAAAGGCAATTGCTACAAGACTTGTAGTCCAAATTTGATTCCCAGGACCCACATGGTGGAAGGAGATAACAGACTCCCACAAGTTGTTTTCAGGCCTTCATATGTATTGTATGTATGTATATATGTATGTATGTATGAACATGCACCTACCCATTTGTGTGTGCGCACACACACAATGAATGGATGAATGAACGGATAGATAAATGTGTAAGTGTAAAATACTTCAAGATAGGTTTAATTCTAAGTTTCTGGGATCTCAGCTACTCAGAAGACCAAGGCAGGACAATTATAAATTTGAAACCAGCCTGAGCTACATAGCAAGACTCCTATCCCTTCCACCAGACCATTGCACAAAGTAGATGCTCAATGACTATTAAATTTATAACAGCAAGGACATGGCCAATTTGCTCAGCCAGCTATTGTCCGGTGACATTTTCAAGCCAGTATCACGCTGCTCTACTAAAAGCTTCTAATGGGAACATTAGCTGTCAATTAGCTACCTAACCATTACATTAGAAACAAAATGGACAGCACATGGTCACAATTTGCTCATTTGCTAATTGGTATGAGGCCTATTCTACCAGATGTCAGGATGAGCCACCGTTACTGACCATAACCTGATGTGTTAGACCTTGACTTCCAGGGTTATTTTCGCTCCCCCAGTGAGATTGGTAACCTAATACCTGTACAGATGCTCCCAGGCAGTGGTGTCCAGAATGAAACCATGGAGTCCAAATGAGGAGAATGGTCTAGGCAGAAATGAGAGAAGTGCTTTTCTGGGTTTGTGAGGCTGGGCATGGTAAGGCAGTCTGAGAGAAAAACAATTAGCCAAACTGCTGGTGCATGAAGGATTGCAACTTCCAAAGCAAGAACAATATGGGAGGCTGGAGTGGCAGATGGTCATACAGCTGGAGCACTGGCCTCTGTTTCCTGAATGCTTTTTTTATTTTCTGACTTGGAGAATAGAGCCTGGCATGGTGATGGTGGTGCTCACTCTGCCTGTGGCCAGGTGTATTTTGACCAATTTGGTCCCTCTTTTCTTCAGAAAGTGTTGGTAAACTATACATGTTAGGCACACATGCTGTGTAGTCGGCAGACCTGAATTTCATCTCTAGTCGAAGAGCAGGATGGAGAGTAGTTACCCAGTCTTTACCTGCTCCCAGTCAATGATGAAGAGCTTGAAATTCACTAAGAATATTTGTTTTTAGTGTTTTTTGACTAAGCCTCTAATTCAACATTTGATTTTGATGTCTATTAGTTATTCATTGGTATCCTCAGAATCAAAGTATCGGATATTGAATTGGGCAGGTTTTCACTAATGGATTGATTTGCATTTGGCTCTCTCCATCCTTAGCCTCATCCCTTTGTCCATTTGGCTGGGAATGTTCTACAGTTCAGTGACATAAGGAAATCTTAATATTTCAGTTCTGACTGATGAGGTCTTCTCAATGAACAGACATGCAAGGGGGGATTTTAAAATATATCAAATGGAAAATAAACAGTAAGAATGTATTTAGTAAGCAAATGAACCTGGAAGTAGAACAGTCTTCCAAGACGACACTCCAGGACACAAGGTATGGATTTCTCACCATAAAGTAGATAACAGCTCTCGGTGCTTCTCATACCACTCTCAGAATCCTGGGCTAGCTGATGCTGGAGTCCGGAGTGGCCTTGTGTGGCAAGGCCTTTTGTTCCTATGACAGAGTATAAAACCCTGGGAGACTGAAACCTGCATCCCACTTAGAATACTGAAACAGTGACTCACAAGCAGAAGGAAAAAGTTGGGAAGTCCAGTCAGTTCAGTCTCTACCTTCCCAGCCTTCAAGTTCCCAGCCTTCAAGAAATCTGCTTTGAGAAGTGAAGGTATAGACTACACTTTGGGGAAGAGGGAGAAGTGTTCTCTCCATCAATCACTGAAGTGCTCAGGTCTCTGGGACAGACCAGAGTCCTTACACAAAATACTTTTCTTCTAAGAAAGAGAAGGAGATTGCAAACCTGGTCTGGAACCATAGAGCATGTCTTCATTTAAAAGATTGCCACACGAGTTTACTTATTTTTTTTTTCTTCCAATGAGTCTTGAAATGCCATAGCAGAATGGACTCTCTGTGACTGCCCCAGACCAGCTAGCTCTTCAGACAGCTGCTGTCCACATCAACTCCAGGAGCCATTGCCCTGAACAAAACTAGGTGGCATTATCAAAGCACAGTGTGCAGTTTTCTCAGCATAGAAAAGCTTTGAAATTAAAAGTTTTGGCAAAAATGAGTGATGGGCTCTCAAACAGCATTCTGTTATCGCAGTATGTCCCATGTTTTCCATCAAGGGATTTGGCAAGCCACAATTTCCCTGGAATGGGTTGAGTAAGAAATACTGCATTTATTATTTGTTTGTTTGTTCGTTCATTCATTCATTCATTTGGTTCATGTGATCAGAGAACCAACTTGCAGGAGTTGGTTCTCTCCTTTCACTCCATGGGTTCTAGGGATGGCACATGGGTTGTCTGGCTAGGTAGCAGATACCTTTACCTACTGAGCTATATCTTATTGACCCTGAAAAACTACATTTCTACATGTCTGAGTTTTGATTGACGTTCTAAAGGAACTTTGAGTGTGCTCACTGTCCAAGCCCAATACGTGTCGAAGTCCAGTGCTGTAAGCAGAATAGGACTTGTAATATAGATAGGAGTGGCACACAGGAGAGAGAACACATTCCCAAGAATGATTTCTGACCTGCCTTTCCCTAGTGGAGATCACTCTGATTGGACATCTCCCCCTCTGTCTACTCTAGCTGATGGGTATGGTTAGTGTCCTGGAGACTAGCCATAACCATCACCAGCCATCTGTGGTGGTGGCATTCCTGGTAATCCATGGGATTCCAAGATGAATTAATCCATTCCCAACCTTCCTAATCCTTCCATCTTTCATTTTATGTAATCAGTCACATAAGAGATTTGGCATATAAGTTATGATGACACACGGTTTGCCAGCAGTAGATTCTGATGGCCTAATTCTGGTGAACTTGGAAGCAAACTAAAGAAAAGAGAAAAGATAGAGGGAGGATGCAAGATGTTTAACAGAAGGAATGACTGAGAATCCAGAGCTTACAAAGGATAGAAGCAAAGGGCATTGGGCATCTAGCTACAGACATAAACAGACATTCTCTCAAGAAGCTACTTCCAGGTCCCAACACAGTGGCACATGTCACAACAGTTGGAAGGCTGGAGCAGGAAGATGAGATTTGAAGCCAACCTGGGCTACATAATGAGTTCTGGGCCATCTAGGCTATCCTGGCCTATGAGACCCTGTCTCAAAGACAGAAGTAGGGAAAGGGGGAGGGAAGAGGGATGGAGGAAGTGAGAGAGAAAGATAGGTTTCTTTCCCAATCCTATAACCATTCACCAATTTTAATTTCCAAGAATGAGTTTTCCTCTCCCAGTTTGATTGGGGGTAGCTAACATCTTTTGCTTGCTATTCCAATGAAGAAGTAAATGTGAGAGAAATCACGGCAGTGGCAAAGGTGGCTTTCTCCTTGGGCCATCACTGCACCACAGAGGGCAGTGCTGACACTCTCCCCCTCTGGTTGTCTTGCAGGCTTCCAGGAAGCTCTTCCCGGTCACCTTCTTTGGCTCCATCACTTGGATCGCAGTTTTCTCTTACCTTATGGTGTGGTGGGCACATCAGGTAAGACTGCTGGTGGCACCCATCCACCTGGTTTGTCTCTAGTCTTGGTTGTCAAGTGGTCAATCAATGTTTGCCTGTTGAAACTTTCACCACACCAAGCATAGTATAGACAAGTTACATTCCAGGACTGGATTTTCCTATTCCCCTATCAGCAGAGCTGTTAAACAGCTTTGTGGAGGAAGGCAAGCCTGGCTGCAACTTGTCTGTCACCTAAGGCCTGGCCAACCAGGGCTGGGAAAAAAGTCAAGGTTCTGCCTACCTCATAGCTTTATTTTGTCTTGGACAGGCAACTCAGCATGGCTGTTCCCAGTGTGTGTGTGTGTGTGTGTGTGTGTTATGCATATGTGCACACATGTGTGAGTCCATATGATAGGTATAGGAAGTCTTCCATGTTCTCCTTTATTGCTCCCTACATTATATGACCTTGAGACAGGATCTCTCACTAAACCTATATCTTGACAGGTTTTGCTAGACTGGCAGGATGCAAGCCCCAGTGTTCTTCCTGTCTCTACCCCAAAGCCCCATGCTGGGATTATAGGCCTTTTCACATGGATGCCTGGGATAAGAACTCAGGTCCTCAAGATTGTGCAGTATTTGCTCTTACCCACGGATCCACCTCCCCAACCATCACCAGCCTTTTAGCAATGGTTATTAAGAAAGGTCCTGAAGACAAAATAATCATCCTTGAGCTTCAACTTATAAATGTAACAATGCATGTCATTTTTGTCTCTTTTGACTCAGTACCAGTCATAATGCTGATCCCAAGATACAATCTCAGAAATTATTGCTTAAAAACTTGAATAAGTGAAATTCAAGGGTTTCTGTTCTCAAAGATGAGAGTGGAAATAATGTTGAGAGTGGAAAGATGTTGAGTGTTTACTCCATGCTGGACAATTCACATCCCTTTGTTGTTTTACCCGTTTTTAATCTTGCACACAGATTCAGATGCTATGAGGGGAAAATGGTCATTATCTACAACATGGAGATAAAGAAATTGAGTTTACAGTTGGTAAGAAAAATGGCCAAGCATCCAAGCTTAATGGCACATGTGTGGAATCCTACCACTTGTGAGATAAAAGCAAGAGAATCAGGAACTCAAAGCTAGCCTCATCAGAGACTTGAAAAGTATCCTGGGCTGTAGGAAAGTAACCCATGTTCATAACTACACAGCCACACTTCTCTTCAGTTTTGGACTTGTCTGTCCAGAGTAGCATTCAAACTCCAAATATCAACGGTGTGGTTTTAAATGGCCATTGCAATAGCATTCCCTCTAAGAATTTCAGTTATTAAGAATGTACTAAATCAATTGCAGTTTACTTAGGGTGAAAATCACTTAGCATGAAGGAGACCATTTTGCTCAAACAAGGCACTCCTGTTGCCCAGGGAAATCACCAGTGTGAGTGGATCTACTCATTCATGCAGCGAGTAGGTGCTTAGAGCCTATAGCAAGTAGCTTCTTAACCTGTTTCCTCTCATGACTCTTCTTGCCTATGGAACAAATCAAACATTTGCTCAAATTAATCATAAATTTATCTTAAAACAATTATTTGGTGTGTGTTTGACTTAACTATTTGTTAAAGATGAAAGCCCATTTACATACTACTCAGAGAGACTTGCTTGTTTGTTTTTGCATGAAGAATTCAATCTCATAAGAGTATGTGATGCTACAGGACAGAACACAACCTCAATGTCTTTCAGAGTTGAGCATTATTTTTTAAGAATTGCCTGATAATACTACATATTGCAAATACACAGTACAATATGGTAGTATGTTAGAAACCCTGCCCTAATCCCAACAGAATTTATTTAACCTTTTTTTTATTTATTTTCTGTATTTGGGCATACACATGTTGTTGTGAGTAAGGTTTTTCCTGCCGGCCTGGACCCACCGCGGCGCCAGCCCCAAATAACACACAGACACGCTGTATTAGATATAATGCTGTTGGCCAGGTACTAGTTTCTTATCAGCTAGCTCTGTCTTAATTATTAACCCATTTCTATTAATCTAAGTATTTCCACATGGTCTCATCTTACTGGAGAGTCGGGCTGGCGTCTGTTCTCCCCAGTCTCTCCATGTTGACTCCTCCTTACTACTTCCTCAAATCCTCCTTCTCTCCTAGTCCCACCTATCTTGCTTTCCTATTGGCCAACAGTGCTTTATTCATTAACCAGTATGAGAAACATATTTACAGACTGACATCTCCCATCAACACGTCACAGCACACATGTAGGTGTCAGAGGACAACTTTTGCAGTCATTTTTCTCTTTCCAATAGATAGGCCCCGGGGATCAGATTGCCAGGCTTGGTGGCAAGAGCCTTTGCCTACCAGGCCATCCCAGCCCCCTCACTTAACAATTTTTTAAGAAAGTAGAGTCAGAAACTCAAGCAGAAATTTTTATAACCTAATATTGTAACATGATATAATCCACAGTGTTGATGTTGCTTGCATGTAGATTAATTCTTTTTTTCATTTTTTAAGTTTTTATTACATTTATCATTGTGTATGGGGTTGAGAGAAGATAGTTACTTCTCTTCTCCCACCATGTGGATCCTGGAGATATAACTGAGCTTACAGGCTTGGTGACAAGTATCTTTACCTGCCATGGGACTTCTAGTTGGGGGCAGGCAGTAAATCTGTGTGCCTGGAGGACTGAGTCCACTCAATAGACTTGGGAGCCAATTGTCAAAATAAAAGCCTCCTTTTAAGTTACCAGGAACCAAGGTATTATATACTTATGAATCAAAAAGGAAATTTAGAAATAAGTATTTTGTTCCCTAAAATACTTTATTCCTGTGTGTCATTTTATCCACTAATTTATTCATAAAGAAATCTCTGTATGTCATAGACTATTGGAAAACATTGCCTAAAATTTTTGAGAACAGTAATTCACCAGCTTCAGAAAATTTTTAAAGTCCCCACAAAATAAGGTGTTCAAGAAACAAAGGAAATGTGTATGGTAGCTTATAGTCACTATCCTAGAATCAGGAGGCAGAAAAATAGAGGCAAGAGGATCCCAAGTTCAAAGCTAGCCTAGGCTACATAGTGAGATGCTATCTCAAAGAAACCATGGCTGTATATGTGGCCTGGTGAAAGTGCTCACCTAGCATGCATAATGCTGAGTTTGATCCCCAGGATGGATGGATGGATGGATGGATGGATGGATGGATGGATGGATGGATGGAGCTTCTAGCTGAGGCTACACCAACTGTTCAAACACAACCAGGAGTCTTAAGCAAAGCCCTCAATGAAATACAATACTGCACCTTCTCACTCTCCAATATTGATGTAGTATTTACAAGGGCTTTCCTAAAACTATCATTCATCCCACAGCCTTCTTGTAAGGTAAGTTATTATTACCCTTACTTGAGGCCAAGAAAGCAAGAATCAAGACACTGTAGAGGGCACAATTATCAATTGGTCAAGTCCTTAAGGGAGCCCTGGGACCAAGGCCCTCTGATCCCTTGTGGTTAGTTCTATATAGCTGTTTTGTTGATTTTGTTTTATATTTCTAAGCCTGAGTTCACCCAATGCCCAGTTCCTTGTGGAAAAGATAGAGGTTATGGGTGTTTAAATGTGACAGAAATAATTGGAGATATTGAGGGAAAAAACGGGACACTATTTTAACAATAGTAGATTGAAGGGCCTTGGGAATTGATGGCACTGCCAGGTGCATTAGATTCAAAGCCTAAGCTTTTTAAGTGAATCTTGCAGCTTCCCTGACAGTCTTAGAGGACACAGTACGGCAGCTGCACTCAGGGTCTCTCCAGCTCTTTACTATTTGAAATAATTTGTTAAGTCCTCATGTGCCCATCGATGACCCCTGGGACCGGGATGTTAAAGTGCACAAACTCCTCTATCAGGGACTATGGCTTGTTCTTTCACTTACCCTAAGAGGTCAATAGTGAGGTTGGGTTCTGTGACTTCCAGCCCTCACATGTGTCCTTGCTGTGATATTCAGGTTGGAGAGACAATCGGCATTAGTGAAGAGATCATGGGTCTGACCATCTTGGCTGCTGGAACCTCTATCCCTGATCTTATCACCAGTGTCATAGTGGCCAGGAAAGGACTGGGTGACATGGCCGTGTCCAGCTCTGTTGGAAGCAATATCTTTGACATCACTGTGGGGTGAGTATGGGGTGTTCTATAAGCATGCACACCAGCTCCACCTCTGCCTTTGTCTTCTAGAAGCTGTAGAAACACAAGCTGGCTCTCTGAACCCAAAACTTACTCTTGGGAGCACCATTCCATTTTACAAGCTGGCTTTTTGTTTTTAGGAACTTAATAAAATGAAGTCATCCCTATGCCAGCAGAAACTCATACTTACAGACTGAATTTTCTAGAAAGTAAGAATTTCACTTGCATAACTGCACTCACCATGAGTTAGGAATATGCACTGCCCAGGTAGGACTGAAGAACTCTGGAAGTTTCATGGTATTTTTTTTTTCTACTCTCTAATTACTGTCCTGATCAGATAAGATTGGTTTCAAAGGCAGCTTGGGAGACATCCAGGCCCAGCACTGACATCCTGTCTCCTTGTCTCAAAAATGTTGACAACCTAGGTTTTGTGAAAGGCAGAAGATGAGATCTTTTACCCAGGCTGAGCAAACTGGAATTCTCAGTAGGAATAATCTGTAGTGAGCCAGATTGACAGGAACTCTCTTATCTCTCCTATTTCATCTAACTTGTCCAAAGTAGAGGACAAATGACTCTGAATGCCAGCTCCTGAGAAACTTAAGTCACAGAGTCTCTATGCTCCCAGGTAATAGGTCTCTTGACCCTGGAATTGGGACATTGGCTAAAATACATCCACTTTATCATTGAACATTTTGAATGTTGGTTTTTTTTCCTTTTCATGTATTTGCTATTGTTCATATACCGCTTGCAGTTAGCAACTTAAGACACACAACAGTCATGTGGATCATGGGTTATCAACTTTATTCCTGAATATGGAGGGCACAGAGCTAATGCAGCAGTAAATATAGCTGGGGTTAGAGCACGGTCCTTGAGGACAAGTACTCTACCAGAGAGTAAAACTTGACCGAGTTCCCACTCAGGTGCCCCCTTCTGGGCTATATGCCTCCACTGTCTGACTCTCTGTCAGTCACCTTGGTGCCCTTTCCTGGGGCATGTGCCTTTGCTTTCGGGCCCACTGAGGAGCCTCTTCATCTGTGTCCAGGAAACTGACCTCTCTTTCCCGAGTCTGTTCAAATCCAAGAGCCCCTTCTCTTATAGACTGTTCATATTGTATTCTCACTATTATTTCTTCCTGCCAGTATGGGAGTCCTTCGGGGATCCCCTTACTAATCTCACCATAGCCTAGCCCATTGGCTAATCATGGTGGTATCTAACAAGTGCTGCTAGAATGAACAGATAAAGGAGTGTGTTTAATGGAAGTTGTTCTGGGATAAACTGTGTTTGTCAGCCCTGCTGCATTACAAATTTGCATTCACCTGAATGGATTCAGTGGCGGAGAGGGGGAGGGGGATGTCCCATAGTGTAAAAGGAAAAGTCTACTATAATTGTAAATATTCACATAAACATACTTGTCATGTTTTCCAAAGGTACATACTCTGACAGATTACAACATGCTCTTTGTTCATTGTTACTAAATCATATATAAATAATAACAAAGGAAACTTTCTCATAATCTTCCCTAGTCCTCCTACCAAAAGCCCTTCATTTTTGTGTCCTGCAAAGATTTAATTATTTTTCTTAGAGAATATTTAGTTTTGTTTTCTTGGAGGAACTTATCTTTTCCAACTTAAAGCCACATGGGCCTGGCATGATGTGACTTCTCCTAGTAAACCAGCAGGCCTCAGACACTGTTTTACTCAGTGTTTTCATAGCCCTTGAAATTAACACTCTGATTTCAGGTGTTTTGTTCTGTTGTGTTCCTGGTTAACCAGTGTCCTTTAATCTCTCTCCTCTCTGTCTCTCTCTGTCTCTTTCTCTCTCTCTCTCTGTCTCTCTCTCTCTCTCTCTCTGCCTTATGCTATTATAGGGATTTTATGAATACCTTTATGTAGAAAATTCTCTTTTAATTATTTCATTAGCATTAACAGATTACATATTTTGAATATTTTAATGAGTATTGGGATCAGAAGTTCAGTATTATCCTCAGCTGATTAGCAAGTTCACTGTCAGCCTAGGCTACAATGACACTCTGACTCAAAAGAAAAGAAAGAAAGACTAAATTTAAAGTTTCATCATGAGTATTTTCCTACTAGTACTATAAGGCTTATAGAGTTTGTTGTGTGGTAGTTTGGCCTCAGACTGCCTATGTAACAGAGAATTCTTCATCCTCCTGCCTCCGCATCTGTGGGAAGCTGTCTTTTCGGGGCTGCAGTCAGAGCCAGCCGACCAGCCCATGGTTGGTGCCTGAGAGGGGGAGTGTGGTAAAGAAAAGGTTAGCTAAAGACGTTAAAGGAAAAAACAGAAACACAGGAGGGCAATTCAGTCAATACTGAATGCCTCAAGTTTATTTTTCACCGCTCTTAAATACCTTAACCGAAAAGGGGAACACGATATCATGTACACAGAACAGACTTTTCTGTCTCAATCTTCCAAGGATTTAGTAACTACACCTTATATGCAATTTTTCATTATCTGGCCTTGAGGGTCAAGAGTAACCACACCTCAGACCAAGTCTGTGTTGTTGTTAATACAGATAAGACACCCAAGGCCAAGATCAAACATCCTATGCCTACTGCAGCCACACCTTTGACCTTTAGGTCTTATGACTTTTAAAGGACAGTTTTGAACTCTTTGGCCTTTAGTCAAGATGGAGTGGAGCCATCTTTATGGACCCCGACACACATCCCAGGTGCTGAGATTATTGGCAGCATGTCTGTCTTAGGCAGTGCTGATGAACTCAGGGTGTCTTGCATTCTAGGCAAGTACTCTTCCAGCTGCTTGGTAGTCCCAGTCTCTAAGCTTATTTTAAATAGCCACATAACTTTACACTGGCTTATATACTGTCTAACTAGTTCCTTATTGCTAAAAATTATAAAAAAAAAAAGAGATCCCCAACTTTTTCCTCAAATAAAACTGAAATGATCATTTTTATGATTAAAGTTCTCTCCTTACACTTGATCATTCTCTCCTTACACTTGATCACTGATGATAGAGTTGACAGATCAAGAGGTGTGGAAAATGTCACTCCCCAAAAGGAGTTTTTACAAACTAGCTAAAGTGCCATCAGCCTCAACTTTACCAAAATCAACTGTGCATGTGTGTGACTGTGGGTTGGTCAGCTCTCTGACTCTGTGACAAATACCTTTTGTTTGGTTTAGTTTTGTTTTGTTTGCTTTGCTTTTTCAAGACAGGGGTTCTCTGTGTAGCTTTGGAGCCTATCCTGGCACTCTGTAGACCAGGCTGGCCCCAAACGCACAGAGATCTGCCTGTCTCTGCCTCCCGAGTGCTGGGATTAAAGGAGTGTGTCACCACTGCCCGGCTCCCATGACAAATATCTAAGCTCTATTTCCACAAAGGACAGTTTATTTTGACTTATGGCTTCAGAAGTGTCAACCTGTGGTCTCTGCTTTGTGCTTTGGGAGTGCATGGCAGAGAAGAACTTTTCACCTCATTGTGGCCAGATAGCAAAGAAAACAACAGAAAAGGGCCAGTGTCCCATTCAAGATCATGCTCCCTGTGACCTAGCTCCCTTCCATCCTACTTCCTAAAGGTCCCATCACCTCCCAAGAGTCTCAGGCTGGAGACCAAACATTTAACAGATGGCCTTTAGGGAATGTTCAAGATCCAACTATAGTTTAGTGGGAATAAAGTGTTTTGAGTCCCCCCCCCCTCCCCAGAAAGATCCACTGAAGTAAGAATCTCCCACCCAGGCTCTAGTGAGCAAAACACCCGTGCTGGTCATCACAGCTCATGATGTCAGCCACTTGAGCTTTGTCCAAGTCAGCCAAGACCCTGGGGGTCTGCATGTGTTAGGCCTGGAAATTCAAAAATACACACATAGTGTGGGCTCTAGTTTCACCCACATTTTCTTTCAGAACCTATGAGCTGTTTTCAAAATCATACTTATGTCCTATTAGCTTTTCCAGTAGGAAGTTTTGGGATTCAAATGGATACTTCCTCCCCCACATCCCAGAAGCATAACTGAACCTTCCTAGCCATGCTCAGCGGGAAACTAGCTGTATGCCACAGAGCTGCCTCCAGATGGCAGCCCACCACTGAAACCAGATATTCTCAGCCATGTTTCTAAGTCCTGTGAGTTCCCAGCAATGGCTCGTCCTGGTACACGTGGAGTACCAGGTACATCGCTCTGATTAGGAAACAGCAGGTGCTGTCGGATTTCAGAGGTCAGTTCAAAACAAGAAAACTGGCAGGAAATTTTGTAATAAAGTTTTTAAATTCATTATAAATATGACCTCGCTTGTTTGTTTGTTGTTTGAGACAGGTCTCGCTATGTAGTTCTAACTGTTCTAGAACTCACTATGTACACCAGGCTGGCCTCAAAGCTCACAAGATCAGCCTGTCTCTGTCTCCTGAATGCTGGGATTAAAGATATACACCACTATGCCCAGCCCAAGACCCTTTTAAATAAATGATTGTCACCACCTTTGCCAGAATAAACTGCAGACTGCCACATTGTCCTTGGTGCCCACCACCATCATGCAACCTCACTGCATTTTAGGTTGTCGGGGGAGTCCTTGCTACTCTGTGTCAATTGTGAAAATCTCATTATCTTTTCTCTATCTTCACACTCATTCCTATACCCCTTTTGTGCTAACCTCTCCTCCCTTTACCCAGGCAAACCACGGTTCATCTTTTTCAGGGCTGGGAGCATATTGTAATCCCCCCTAGGAAGAAAACAAAAACGAATTCGGATCAAATTCCAAGGTCACCTGTAGCAGTCATGTCTTTGATGTAGTCCATTGGAGAACAAATGAGTTAGGAAACAGGTCAAGATTCCCCCCAACTTTTGTTTTGTTTTGGTTTTGGTTTGTTTTGTTTTTTGATATAGGGTTTCTCTGTGGCGTTGGAGGCTGTCCTGGAACTAGCTCTAGTAGACCAGGCTGGCCTTGAACTCACAGAGATCTGCCTGCCTCTGCCTCTGCCTCCCGAGTGCTGGGATTAAAGGCGTGTGCCACCAATGCCCACTCCCGCTGACTTCTTTAGTTTCCTGAGCCAGCCATTTGTCCTAGTGACCCTAAAGTATCATCCTCCTCAAGCTACAGACTGCCCTCTTCTAGCGTACTTCCTCACCGTGCCTGACTGCTCTCTCTCTCTCCTCCCACTCCTGCCTGCTTGTCTTCCTCTCAGGCTGCCCCTGCCCTGGCTCCTCTACACCATCATCCACAGATTCAAGCCAGTGACTGTCAGCAGCAATGGCCTCTTCTGCGCCATCGTCCTCCTCTTCATCATGCTGCTGTTTGTCATCCTCTCCATTGCCCTCTGCAAATGGCGGATGAACAAAATACTGGGTTTCATCATGTTTGGCCTCTACTTCGTGTTCCTGGTGGTCAGCGTCCTCCTGGAAGACAGAGTTCTCGAGTGCCCTGTCTCCATCTAGTGGAAAAGCCATATCTTAAACCAACAGCATGGATGGTCCCTCCTGGCTCTGGGCTCCAGGCTCCTTGCAGTCTTGAGAAGAGGCAGCCTGTGCACAGCCTTGGGAGGCAAGCGGCCCCCCTTGGAGGGTTGGAGGAAGGATGGATTCTCATGGGGCCATTCACTTCCCAGGCACCTCACCCTTGCCTGCTGAAATGATTCCATGTAAGAGACAAAGAGAACCGTCTCTCCATCACCACTGACAGGTACTCCTCGCTGGTCGGAGGTACATTCATCGTGATGACACAAAGGAGGACAGAGGCTATACATGCATATAAATATAAATCCTATAAATACATACACATGCGCATACAAATCCTGCCTGTATCTGTACTATACCTCTCCTCCTATACCTATAGATTAATACATAACTGTACACAAACAGAAAGAAACATTATATATATAAAAGCATATATATATTTAAGTGCAAATGCATCTTTTCAGGGATAGCTCTAGCATATTTATAGTACCTATTTGAAGAGGGGCATCAACCTTCAACCTTCAGTTTGTGCTTTGCCTCTCAAGTGTAAAAGGTGGATTAACAGAATCAGTAGGCAAAGCGTTCTTGGCTTTGGGTATACTGAGTTTAGTGAAATAGTTTACAGAGAGGAGAGCTTAGTAGAGGAAGTCTGTAGGAGCCTCACTTAGAACCTCTAAAATACTCTCACAAGCCAAACAGAACCATCTACTCATCCCCACTGAGATGCTCTGACTGAGACCCATGGGATTCCTTAGGACAGAGGTAAAAAAAAAAAAAAAGAAACTCAGACTGGGTGGCAACCAAAGGGAGACAGACGAAGGTTAGGTTGTTTTGTTTTGCCTTTTCTTGTATTGCCCCAGCATGCAAGTAGATAATATGAATGAAAAACCAAATTAGTGCTTTTCTAAGACAGCTAAATTATATAAACTGAGCCTATCTTGTTCCAATGCATGGCCCGTTATCATCAAAAGAACAAGGGCAATCTTAGCCATGATTGTCATGTGACGTGCTTTCATGCCAAGGGCTCACACACAGTCCAAAGTCCTGCCAAGAGAGCTGAGACGTGTGCTGAGAAACCCCGTCCAGCAGCGGTGCTCAGTGGGAGTTGCCACTGATGGGAACATAAGGGCACAGCTCCTTGGAGCATTTCTCAGTGTGGTCACAAAGGGCTGCAGTGTCTAAGAATCATTCCCAATAGAGCTAAACTAATGACTGCCCGTACTTGATTGAGATAGTTCAGGTTTGTTCGCAGAGGCATTTACCTATTTTGTGTGCCCCCAGAACAGTTTCCAAGGCCTGCATATGTCATGAATTTGGTGTATACCCATACAACATCTGTGTCCCTCCCTACATCATAACCCCACCTGGAACTCTAGTGTTCCGAGCATACTGGAGACTGTATTCCACGGCTTTTTTACACTGCTTTGAAGCAGTCTCTCTCAAATTACAGTTTACTGAGTTTTCTCAGCTTCACATGGGATCATCTCATTCACTGAGTACCCCCAAGCTCATCTGACATCTTGTGTGATTTCTCCAGTTTATTTCAGTAGAAAATGAGATGGGTTGGCAGCAGCAGGACAAATTAAAATGAAAAAAAAAAAAAAAAAACCATGCAGAGTTTTACATTTCACTAAACCATGCTTTCTCCTTAAAGTCCATTGAAAAAGTGAATGGAGGGTGGCCACATGTAAATTGGCACCCATCCTACGTGGACAATGTCACCATGCATTCAGGTTCTGATCTGTCACTGTGTCTTGTCTGTGTTGTGAATACCACTTAACACAGGGAGCCAGGGTGCAGAGCTCAAAGCTGAATGAAAGGGTCAGGTAGCCTAATACTCCAGATCAAGTTTAGCATTCCATCCACAAAACCTCCATTCATTTACAGAGCATGGCAACAGCAGGCAGAGCCAAGCCCAAGACCATTTGACTCATAAGCAAAAGGCACTTCAAAGTGGAAGTCCCCTGAACACTCAAGAAATCAAGAGGTCTGCTAGCCAAGAAACTGGCTTTCAAGTCTATCAACAATGCAAAGTTGGAATTTTGGTTTGGATTTTTCTGTTTTCTTTTCTTTCTTCCTTTCTTTCTTTCTTTCTTTCTTTTTTTTTTTTTTTTTTTTTTTTGTGTAACTGCCCTGGCTGTCCTAGAACTCACTCTGTAGACCAGGCTGGCTGCAAACTCACAGAGATCTGCCTGTCTTTGCTTCCTGAATGCTGCCAGTGGTGAGAGAGAAACCCACATCCCATTTGTTTGAAGCAAACATTTATGCTGCTGCCTTAGAAAAGCAAAGGAAAAGTAGGTTTTCAATTTTAAAATCTCAGATTGCTGTCCTGGCTGCATGATGATTGATGGACCAATTCTGATTTCTGGTTGGTTTATTGCTTAAAATGGATGCTTTTTTTTAAGCCAACTACAATAGACTGTAGAATATCACAGAGTATCTGGTCCCACCATTACTATCCCCATACTCGTTCCCCTTATGTCCTCACCAAGAAGCCAGGAAGCACTCCAGGAGTCTGGGAGCTGGGAGTTCTGCTTCATTGGGAGAGTTATGGTCTTTAATGAAAAGTTTCTTTGAGAAGACAACATTCCCAAAACCAGTCCCCACTTCCATAGCGCTCCCCATCACAGAATGGTGCTCAGACACCATCTACTGCTGATTCTTGCTGCCTTCTTTGAGTATGTGGGTATGTGGCCATGTTGACCTGGAATTGTTCACATCATTGTAAAACTGCTTTCTACGTGCTAATTTCAGACCAACTCTAATTTCTTTCTTGCATGTTGGTGTATGCAAGTGTACCAGGTCTGCAGACATACAATATCAATTACATTGTCACCCTTGTGGCCCAATCACATTCAGAATTCTAAAGCAAAGGGCATCAAATTTGACACCCATGGGAGAGCAAAGTTATGCCTGCCAACTAAAGTGAATATTTATCAGCTAAAGGTTTTTTATTCTATGCACATACACAAGCATTCAAATGCCAAACATTCCAATCCCTAGAATATAGGAAATGGCCAGCTGTATCCCTAATGCTTACAGAGAAGCAAAAATATGCAAAAGAGGGATGGCAGAAAATTTTAGACTGCTATCTCTTTGCTTCTCTGGACCAGGTAATAAAATAATACCAAAAGTGTAAGCCAAAATTTGCCATTCATTCTAAAAGAAAGGAATTATATCCAAATGTGTCCATTTACTCACAGAAAATCAAGCTAGTCTTGCTTGCTGTCACCTCTCCTATAGTCCTAGGCAAGGCTGGAATAGGAGAGGAACTTGGTCCAGACTAAGGATTCTAAAATACAACCCCCTAGATTTGCATTTAACAATGCCCATGACATATCCACCTGCCCTCTGAGATGAAGCATGAGATTAAATGGTGTTATTCAACTTCCCAGGACATAAACATGCCAGGCATTGTCAACAGAACAGAACACATGTTCAGAGACTCAAGGATAGGGATGCTGATCAGCTCAGCAGACGTTGTAGAATGTCTGACATCTCACTTCAGAGTGCTATGAAAGAGGTGAGGACCATTTCATATTCAAGGAAAATGCTTTGCAAGGCCTCTGCCGGGTGTCACCCGACAGCAGCCATTAGAATTTATTTCCTAGGGAAGACATGAGTGGGGCGGTTTGGAGGTCTTTCAGCAAAACACTGCTGCCTCAATGATTAGATTCTTGGTAAAATTAGCATACACCTTCTCCTGGCCAGAGAGAAATGGCTGCCTGACTCCCTACCACCACCCTACTTCCTGCATCTTGTAAATGCCTCTCTGACCTAAGGTGAAGGAAGATAGAGCCTATAAAAGGTTGTCCACACCCAGACCACATTAACAGAAAGCTGATTACAGAAGAGACAACTGTACTGCAACTTGAAGTAGTCTATTGAAAGAATTGTATTGGAGCATTTGATAGGGTCTGATACTTGTCTAAATATAAGAATTTCAGAGCATTTCAGTGGGCTTTCACACACACATTCTCTCTCTCTCTCTCTCTCTCTCTCTCTCTCTCTCTCTCTCTCTCTGCTTCCTTGCACCCAGAAAGATTATGACTCTAGCAAGTAACCTATTACAGACAGCAGACCTATTCCAGAAAAAAAAAAATTACACTATAGAAGCTGACACCCATTCCCACGTATTCACCTGGCCTAATAATCTTTAAAGCTATCATCCTCAATCCCAATGCCTCTCTCACAACATTTTCTTCAATTAGCAGGCAAGGCTAATCAAAAGGGGAAAAGGAAAAATAATTTGCATGTAATAGAATTCCTAAAAAAGCAATTGAAATACGTGTGTGTGTGTGTGTGTGTGTGTGTGTGTGTGTGTGTGTGTGTGTGTGTGTGATGTTTAAAGTGGTTACAAATAGCAGAAATTTTAAACCATTACTAGAGCCTGTACATGTCTTAGGTTTATTGAAAATCACATGTTAAGAAGGCCTCAGGAAAGGAGATTCCCGTGCCTTGCCCCAGTGTCTGTCTGAGTTTAGTTTCCTGCCTCTGGATCTTTGTGGTCCTTTTTAATCTCACAGCCTCATATTCTTTGAAATACATAACTAACAAGAAAAGCAATAAAGGAAATACAGCCAGCTCAGATCCAATACTTATTAATGCACCTTTGAAGTATTTCTTTCATGTCACTGGGCACTTTGGGTCTGCATAGGCTGTGGTGCCTCAGCAATAGGAGGACATGGACTTCTATGAATCACAGATGTGCTCATGTTTACTACATCTGGAAGTGGCTTGCTTTCCATGTAGACCTCCCAGACAGCATGCATCCACACGCCTTTCTTACACATGGACAATCAGCCTCGATCCAAACTACCTAAATGTCACCAAAGTCTTTAATCTTGCCAATGAGTTTTCTTAAGAAAGAGTGGGAGGGAGGGCCACACAAAGAACAAACAAATGCGAGACCTAGCCAGTTTGTGAGAGGCCAGACTAGTCCTGAAAATTTAGACAGATAGGCTCAAGTTCGTGTGCAGTGAGAGACTGAATGGAGAAGCATGTTGCCTAAGCCAAAGCACTTTTCCTAAAACACTGGTGGGCTAGACTGGAAAATTAATAAATGCCTAAGGACAGAAAAGTGACATGGACTTATGTGGGTTCCCACCAAGGATGGATTCCAATAGGGGAATGAATCTGTCTGCTGGTCACTATAGTACAAAGGACCACCAATATTAAATCATGGAATATCAGCAAAGAGATCCAAGTATACCCAAGGTCAGTGTTTAACACTGACAGAAAGAAAAGCCCCCATCCAGCTTCACCCAAAGACTGTCCGGCTAATGACTTCACCCATTTATTTTTCCTTCATGGCAGAAGACA